AAGAAGAAGATCTAAAGACTTATTTTCTAATGAATATGATATACTGACAAAATTATTGAGGGGGGGGGGGGGGCAACTGTAAATTTGCTTCGGCTTTTTTTAATAGTGACTTTCAGTAAAGCGGGGGACAATAAAAAGGATTTGAGGGGGTACACTTCTAAAGGCTTGTTTTCTAATGAATATTATGTACTGAAAAAATTATTGAAGGGGGGATTGTAAATTTGCTTCTTTTTTTTTTTTTAATAGTGACCCCCCTCCCGGAGGGGGGGGGGCTGATCACCATATGGATATGTGTAATTGTAATACACATAAAAAAAATATTGAAATAATACCAATGCTGCCTAAACGAATTATGGCCATAAAAAACCACGTTGGTTATTTAAATTTCAGGCTTCCGTAGTTTTATGTATTGATTGGGTAAATAGTCAGACCCGCAGAAGAGGGGTCAATGTTGTGTTGTTGACTTCCTCTCTTGGTCGCTTAGATGGGCATGTGAACGAAACATGGAGAGGGAGAACAATTTAACGTTCAGTAAGAGATTAAAGCTGAGTCTTCTGGCCATCATTCAGGTATAGTTTAGATTTCATAATTGGAAATTGATGATTTTTATTTCTCAAGCGAACTATGTGCTGTCATGGATCTTTGATTTCGAGAAAATGGCCGATCTGTTCGGGGTAGGAAAAGATCGATTTGTCAATTGCTGAAATGATCCAGAATTCGCGTGTAAATTGAAGAACAATTTCATCTCTGTTCATCATATAAAATTTTCGTATAGATTCTATGAATTTAGGGGGGAAGATGAACACGTTTCATAAAAAAAAATGACACATCGTTATGAAAATAGAGTGCATATGAACATTTGTGTATATCCAGTATCCTCGATACATAACTCTTCTTTTTCATACAAAAGTAGAGTACATGTCAAATAGGATATGGACAAGTTGTGATTTCATTTGAACATAGACATCACAGACGGGAATTCCGAAAGTAAGGTGCTGTTGAGACTGTAGAGTAGTGAGTTTTCATACACAGGCATATCCATGTATTGTGTAAAAAAACAATTCAGGACTTATGTCATTCTTTAACAGGTTGGCAACAACTGCCAAAATGGAATATAATAGCCCATTTGGGATAGAATATCTCAAATGGGGTATAAATTTACTGTGCCAAAAAAATGAAAACTTTATTTTGTCTATAAATGTCGTAAATCTGCATAAATATACATATTATAAAATGCAATGACTTCTATTTAGCAAGCAATCCTACTGTTTGTGAGATTGATCCCCATGAAGTTAACCATCTTCTGAGGGACCAATCCCCTATACAGTGAGGATCCAAGAATACGTTTTTAACAAAAGTTGTTGCTTTTTTGAATATTTTGATGTGGATTTTCAATATTTTTAGTTTAAAGAAAAACCTTCATTTTTTGCAGTACCATTTGTGATACATGTATATTCCAAATGTGTTATTATAACCCATTTGGTTCATTGGTTTTAACCTGGGGCATTGACTTGTATAAGTGTTCTTAACAGTATTACATCTCAGTCTGTTTAATTTATATTAGATTTCTTTCCGTTTCTGGAGGAGGGTGAAGAGAGAACAAAATGTTTTTCAATAGTCCTTCTTTTTCTAATTTTTTTTATTCAGTGTTTTCTTGCATGGACATATTATACTAGTAAGGACCATTATAGAGATATCTTTTCTAATAATTCATGTCACTCCTATTTTAGCCTTTCTTTGTTGAGGCATCCCCACCGGGGTAAACTCAAGAGAGAGATACTGGTACTATTTCCCCCTCAACATTTCAACAATCATCATGTCATATGATTGTACTGTAGCATTTTTTTTTCTTGGATGACATGACACTTATGGTCATGTATGTTAGCTTATTTTTTAAACTTTGGAGTAATCATGTAGAAATTTCTTGAGTTTTTTTTTTAAATTAGGCCTGGATGAATCCAAGTTTTTTCTCTGTTTAGCGTCCACCCATCTTTCAAAAACCTACCTACCTATTCGCAAAAAACACATAACCCCCCAAAATAAAACACAGACTTTATAGTCTTAAAAATGACTCCATTTAAAGCATTTCATTTCGTTAATCTAATTTTCTGGAAGAAAGATCTATTCTTCAGCAAAATCAATGTAATAAATACTTAAAATAAGCCCAATATGATTTATTGTCGACAAATACCTACAGAAATTGAAATAATTAAAAGAATTTAAAAGATTTTGACCAGATTAATCAATTTTAGGGCTCCTGATTTTGTTTGTTTTTTCTGATATGGGGTGTCAAAAACCAAGGCGCACGCGGACGCTAAACATAGAAAAAACTTGGAATGGCCTTAAGTTTTATTGTTGATTGTAATCAAATTCATGTTCCTTGTCATATACTACTCCTTAAAAAAAGAAAATGGTAAAAAAAACATTGGGATAATATTAAGAATATATAAGAACTATATAATACAGAGTTAAGAAAAAAATACAATCAAGAATTGGAAAATGTCAGAATGATTTAAGACCAAAGAAATTTTAGAATTACAAAAATATGACATTTTAAAACTCATCATTGTACTTGATAACTTGAAAAAAAAATGTTTTCAGTCCACATATTTAGCATTCATCAGAAATTATCTGGAATACATAGTAGTAGATTGTTTAACATTTAAAAGATAAAACTAAAAAAAATGATAAAGGCAAAAGTTAAGGCACTACAGTCTAATCTTTATTACAAGAGAGTTGTAAATATCAACAAAATTCTTAATATGTTAATTGTCGGCATAATTAAAGCCAATTAAATCCCACTTAATCCAAGGTCATGTTAGGACTTGTCCTTCATTAAAATGTATTGAATTTGATGAAGGATTTAAAATCTGTGCTCTGATCTTTTGTGAAGCTATTGAGTATTGACGCACTGTCTTGGACTTGCAAGTCCGGCCTTGTGTTTGAATTCTGATCTGAAATACCGGTAATCCCAAACTAGTGGACCATTAAGTGTGTACAATGTATAGCTTCTTAACCTGTTTAATTGTTCTTGAAATCAAAACAGAGACGTGATTTCAGAATAACACGTGTAATTCTGTAAGGGTCACAAAATGGAACTAAAGAGGAAGGAAAAGCAGAACATAAAATACCTGACATTTAATTAATTACCCTGGTAAACTGCAAAAAACGGTATTCAACATTGCTACTATTTGCTAAGTATTGAAGAGAAGGCTTATATGAATTGGAAGTGTAATACATGTATTAAAATACCATAAAATCAGAGATGTTTTGAAATATTGTCAATACAGTGTACATGGCAATGTATCTTGCATACTGATATCTGCATTTACTCGAGTAATTAAAAGCTTATTCCTCTATGTCAGTGATAAAAAAATTGGGAAAATGCCTTATTGTATGGAGAATTTTCTCTTTGAAGTTTAGTGGGTTAATATTGTTTAATGTACTATAATAGTATAAATTGCCTACAAAAGAAAATACAACAAACGTTGATAGTTAACACTATCAGTCTTTGGTGTGAGAAAACAGTCTTACAATTAGTTCCTTATAAAAGAGTGAATCAAAATTTCATGTAAATAAATGTACAGTAAAACTCATTTATAGTTATAAAGAACTCGGTTATAAGGGAATCTTGATTTTGAAGAATTTTTCATGACTCCCCTAAGGGATTTTCCCACTATGTTCCTTGAATATTCCTCATAAAGATGTGAAATTTGAAGTCCCAGTGACTTTCTTATAACCATCTTTTACTGCAGCTGTGTATTTATAGTTAAAAAAAAAAAACTATTTGAGACACATGTTTTACATGTAGTCTCTCCTTCTGTGAACTTCAGAAGAACCAGTTAAATTTTGCAATCCATTTCATTATGAGAACTGCTCATTTTGAAATATTGATTAGTATATACTGGATAACAAAGTGTAAACATATTGAGTAACTAAACAAAATACTTTAAAAATTAACATTTTCTACGCATCTGTTCAGAAATTCAAAAGGTGATGTAATTTCATCTGACACTGTACTTAATATTTTATAATAATGTTTTCAATGAATGTTCATAACAAAAGAAAACAAAGTCAAAAGGGCCATTTTTTTCCTCCATGAATTATGAATTACAATCTAGAAATTTGTGGAAAAGTTTTTACTTCGAATACCTGATTAAAAGCACAGTGATTGTAACCTTTATTCAGTAGTTTAAGGTGGCATTTACCACACCTATGCCTAAATCATCAGGATAAAATTTATTTTTCTATTAAATTGCGCATTTTCTTTGTACATGTTGTGTAACGTATTTTTTATTATGGTTCAGTATGTCAATGTCAACATTCTTAATAATTTGACAGTTATATGACATGTGAGGTGCTTTTGTCAAACAGTTATCATCATATGTAAATTTGTTTTTATCATTTGAAATACCTGATTTATAAAAGCATTATTTCATGTCAAGTTTTCCTGCCTATGCATAAATAAATGATGATGTGTTTCAAGATGTACAGTTTGATGTGGAGAGAACACAATTGTAGTACATATAACCATGGGAGATGGTTAATACTGTAACCATACAGAGTCAATATAGAGGTTGATTATTTCTCATAGGGATCAATAAATGTAGTTCATAATGCACCAAATGGTTCTCTAAACATATATTATGTATGATCATTAAAGTTACTACATTGCACAAATCAAATATGGGAAAAATATATTTTCTGTTCCAATTAAGACAGTATGTATGTGGTATGTGAGCATTATTTAAAGAATGCATTGAAAAACTGAATAACATGTTACTAAGTAAAAAGATGGAAGTATTCATTGGTTGATACTGAGCATCAATGCACATAATGGTACTATCTACATGTATCTATTGAAGTCTGTAATCGATTACTTACCACTGTGTGTGGCTGTATAGTTAGTGGAAAACTTGTCCCGTGACCAAAAAAAAAAGCTATTGTATCCATGGTATTACTATCTGCTTCTTTTAAAGTATCCTCTGTTGTGCTTTCAGATGCCCAGGATGCACTCCAGCTCCACCCAGTGCTGCCTGTGTGTGGTGGGAGTCTTCATGTTCCTCATGGGGGTCATCATGCTGTCAACTGGAGTATGTCTTATACTTAATTATGGCTACTTTGACAATGCATTGTTCCCCCCTGAATTACAGAGCCAGGAAGGCAAAAGAACTGTTGGTATTATACTAACTGTCTCAGGATTTGCTGCTGTTTTTATAAGTGTCCTTGTGAGTTCCATATATTTGTGTTCACGGAGTAAGACACCATCTGTGCATTCAGATGAACTTAATAATATACCAAGTTCTGGTAGAAAATCCTCTGCTGGAAGTAGAAATAAAGTTGCTTCTACTGATGCTGCAGCTCCAGTGAAGCAGAAACCATCATCCAATGCTGCACCAGCAGCATCAAAACCTCAAAATAAGGGCAAGGACATGCATTCCACAGCAGTGCCTCGTGCCCGACATCCAAGAAAACGCAAAAAGCAGAGAATACTCCAGAAGAGCAAATTAGAAGGCATCCAGGAGGCAGATGCCATTTCCAGAAAATTCTCAGAAAAAGACATCAATAGTTCTATTGATGCAACAGCCATCGATGAAGTGCACAGCGAAAAAAACTCTCAGGAAGAGAACGTAGAAGCCATAGCAATGCCAGAAGTGTTTTATAGTGCAAGTGATAATACTGTGTTAGTCTCATCTTCAAATTCCGTAGCATCTAGTGATGACTTGCCACAAGTGGACAATCCAGCATATACAGAAGAAAAAATCAGGAAAGACTATGACCAGTCTTCCACATCAAGTGGATTTACTGGGTCAGAGAAAACAGACAGTCTCTACAAAGTAGAGGCAAGTATTGATCACCCTATGTGATTGTACAAGGCAAGGATTTAAAAAAAAATTAAGGGGGAGGGGGAAACATAAAACTTCACTTCATGTAGTCTACTGCAGATTAAGAAGGACATTTCTTCATCAGCAAGGAAGCTGGTCTTCCTCCCCATAAATATATATAAAAGTAGTTCATATTTACCAAATATATATGTTTGAAAACTTATAATGTGATAAAAGATATCAGTGCTATTACATGTACATGCTGCATATTGCTTTATATGTGATAGAAATCCCAGTCCACTTGAAATGGAAAGTGATAATATGATGCTGTGCATTATAAGTAGTGTTATAAACTTCACATTGTTTTCTTATTGATATGGCATTTACAAAAAAATCATTTTTTATGGAATTAATATAAGCTGGCCCCAATCTTTTCTGCTATTTTTTCAAATTTCAATATCAGATGAACTAGGTAGATATTTTCTGAAGAGTTACTTGTCTGTTATTGATATTCTAGTGTAGGCAATATTGGAGGATGTATTATTTTAGAAATACTGCTTATTTTAAGTGATTTAGTAGATTTATTTATTATTTTCTTTTTGACTTAATTCAGATATATTTTTCTTTGGTTAAGTAGAAACGGTTAAGTCACCGTTAAGTGTTGCATTCTGTACCATATTATACTCTCTGTGACTCAAGAAAAGGGGGATGTGAACTTCCTGTCATTTTTTTTTAAAATGATAATTGAGGATGCATCTTCCAATCATGGTTTTGTCTCAAAATAATGATACTAGGCTGTCAGCATGATTTGGCATGGAGTTGTAAGTATTTGTATCTATATACTGCTGAAGACGACAAGGTCACTGCCAAATGTAGTTGGTGTGTTGTAAATCCAGTTGTTCATTTTGTTTTGATGTTGTGTACATTTCTTTGATGTTTGATGTCATTTTTGTTTTTGTTGTATGTTGGTGAATCAATGTGTAATCAATTCTAATAGAACTTTGTATACACTTAACATACTGATGAGAGAGAGACTCCATGTTAAATACAGGTCCTGGAAGCAAATTTTTTTTTGGGGGGGGGGGGGGGGCAACCTAACAGAAATTCCTTGAAAAAAAGGTAATCAGGTGATAATATTAGAGGGGACACAATCATAAATTAGTTTTTTTCTATTGTGTAGTATATACCATACTTTAAAAATTATTATGGGAAGGGGCACAACCCATACCCTAAAGGCCAGACAAATATCTCGAGTATGCCTTTGAAGGGTGTAATCTACAGATGCATCTGTCCACCATGTTTCAAAACGGATTGATTTTCTACTGCTTCTTTTCCTGCTACAGAATTAAAACCTGTATTTGATTCATTATCTTTATAATCAAAACCAACATTCTGCTGCAATGATCCTGTAAAATATGTAGTACATGTCTAAAATGTGTTATATATGGTTTTAAAACACATATCTATTGTACCTTTTTCTCTAGATTAAAGTATTGCAAACATTTTTTTTTGTTTTAACACTGAGAATCTGATATGCTCCACATCCTTATTGTAAACTCAATTTATTACTTTTGAAAATTTTCTCGAGCATTTCAAAACAAGAAAATATTGAAAATTCATTAAATTCCTAAATGATAAATACAAATACTGTGGTTATACAGGGATAAAAATTATATAATTACATGCTTTGTTAAATTTTTGTTCTTTGTTTAATGTTTTTAGTTTTGTTTCAACAATGAAAATCATAGATTAAGTTCTGGACACTGATTTGCCTATGACTTTGTCATGAATATAAAAAAAATTGTGATATTTAAAGTGGACAGCCATGTCAATGCAATGTTTCATCATTTGAAAATTTTCCCTCTACACACTAGTGACAATGCATGTTCCAATATCAAAACCTTTGTATTAGCCATTTTCAATGATACACTGTATGAAACATTAATCATTTATTTTGCAATGTCTTGACAGGGTTATAGAGGCTGATGTATGATTGTTCTGTCTACAATTAATTTTTTTTTTTTGTTTTATTTATTTTTTTTTTGGAAATGTACCTTTAACAGTGATAATGTTATTGTTATTATTTTTATGAAGGAAAATAAACTCGAAATACTACATTTTGTTCAGTTCTTAACATGCAGGGAACATTTTTAATAGAGTTCAGTATGTTCATAGATTTGCAAGTGTTGTTTGAACTAAGAGGAAAAAATACAGTAAAACATGTTTATTATATAGTGCAAAGTGTCATAGTTGAACAATCTTGATCCATTATAATAATAATTGGTTATATTTGATGTTCATACACATGTAATAATAATACAAAGGGAATGGAAATCGCTTCACTGTCCATTGAGTCAAAGGCTCAAGAGAGCTGTTTCAGTAGAAGAGTGTCCGTACTTCCATTTGTTGTGTTTTGTCTGTAATCTTTTCACATTTTCAACTTCTCCAGAACCACAGGACCATCTCAAACAATTTTATCCTAAGTATCCTCTAGCAAATAAACAGCTATGCCCTTCAAAGGAAGGTAGAATAGATAGAATATAGTGGAGTCATTTAAAAATGTTCATCTCAAGAACCACTAGACCAGAGAAGGCAGGGCTTACTTAGGGATATCCGCTTCTCAGCCAGGAATGATTGAAATTATTATTTAATTTAAAAGTCTCAAAATGAAGCTAGAATTGGAAATCTTTTCATGCAAAATTTTAATTTCATGTATCTCAATGGGATCCAAAGTTTCTTGTAAATAAGTTGAGATTTATATCCCATATAAGTACAAGTAAAGCATATATTTTAATTAGGAAAAATGCATAGCTTGTGCTTTTATTTGCGTTTCCTGAAAATATACCCAAGATTTGATAATTTTTCCTATATAATATGATTAACTATAGTGATATACTATGAAAGAATACTATATATATATATATATATATATATATATATATATATATATATATATATATATATATATATATATATATATATATACTTTATGAATTCAGAGACATTTCTGTGAACATTTTCAATCACTTAACTGCTGATTTTCAGTACCTGAGGGTCGGACTCCCTGAAGTGAAGATTCAAAGGATGACTGCACTTAACGCCTGTTTTTGGGTCTTTTTCGGTTGCTTTTATATCTAAACTTTATTTCACTTTTGTATGTTTATGAGAGAATCCTGTCAACTTGAAACCAAATTTAAATCTTAAAATGATTTTATACTGTGATACAATAAAATTATTCAATGTTTTTTGTCCTTAGTGTTTTCCAAATATAGTGAATTTACAGTTAACTGCCCTTGATTGAACATTTAGATATGCATGAGAGGTGGAGCTAACATTGTAAATATGGGTCTTAAATTAGACTTGATAAATAACAATGACATGTTTGAAATAAAGAACATGATCACTCTTTCCAATCTCCCTCTCCATTCTGAATGGCACAAATACACTTCTGACAAAGGTTTCAAAACGAAACTAACAATATGAGCACGTCAATGTAATTTAAGCAGATTTTATATCAATGCCAGATGACTTAACGTGTTCGAACACAATATCCTAGTTAGCACAAAACATGCTACCTTACAAGTCACGTGACGGAATTTGGTATTCACAAAGTTACCCGAGGCAGGACATCACGTGGTGAATTATAATACTCAACATGTCACAATCCTTGGTTACAACACAGAGAGCGAGTGTAAGAAGAGGCAGTTTTTTCTCTTTTTAACCATGAGCGCATGTTTGTCTATTAATCTCCTTTTGACACATTATTATTTATGCAAATATACAACTACTGTGAAACGGAGAACAATAGACAAACATGCGCTGACTATGTATAAAGTCAGTAAAAAAGTGGGCGTCCTCATTATCGTACGGAGATTCAAGAAATTGTGATGACCCCTGCCTTTGAAAACAGATTCAAACTTCGTAAATACACACTTTTATTAAACGTAATTACATAAAGTTGTAGATTGGATGTTGACCATTCTTGCAATGAAAAGGAAAATGCTTGTTTTGAAAGTTTATTTTGTCGCTAATTTCGCATGTCCTTAAGTGCAGTCATCCTTTATTCAGTTCATGGCCATAGGGGCTAGGATGGGGCCACAGTAAGGGGTAAAAGTTTATATAGGAAAAAATCGTATATCTTCATAGGAATATCGAGGGAAAAAATCTCATGGATAACAGGCACAAGGTGATTCATGTGAGTGATGTGGCCCATAGGCCACTTTTTTTCTTTTCAAAAAATCGCACACACATCAAGAATTCATTAGCTTGTTGAACTTATTTATGCTCATCAGACCTTTTCTTTATTGATTAATTTGTTTATGTGAATGAAATGCCTGGAGCTTTTTATGAAGTATTAGATAAATATACCCGACTCAAAATTATGGCAGGGAATTTTACCCAATAAAAACTGATGTATATTTCATTAGTCAAGGATTCGCCTTGTAAATGGGTAGAGATCGTGGGTTACACATATAGTTATTTTATTGCAAAATCAAGCACTGTTGTGGTGAATAATTACACTTGGTTGATCATTGCTTCACTCGTGTGGCTATTCGTAATATTGACCTGGGTATGTTGATAGGGAGCGTCCCTGACAACGGAAGTTCTGCACGATGTGTTTAGCGTTTTGATACTGTTCGTACAGATAGCAATGATAACCTTTTGCATTTTTACGGTTGAATTAGTTTTTGGCTGTCAGCAGTTTTACAAGGCGGTGGTCTAAAATGGTGCAGGTTTGGGTTTATCCTTTTTAAAAACTTGTAACATTACTTAAAGGAATAAAAATATATACATGTAACAAGTACATATTACATGTATAATTTTAATGAATTCTTTTTTTCTGTATTTAGAATTAGTGAAAAATACAACTTACCCAAGTTTGTTACTATGGTCTCGATTTAAAGAGAAAAAAAGATTGTAAATTTTAATTAACAATAGCTTCTAATTTTGTGGCAGTACCTCATAAGTATTTATACATGTATCTGTTAATCAAAAGTTTGAAAAAAAATTTTCTCTCTTTTTATCCTAAGACAACTACGTATCTATACAAAAGGGGGTATCAACAAACGCAACAAGATACCAAGATTATTTGATAACATTACTGAATAGTTCCTTATGAGACGAAAAACAAAGAGAATGTTAAAGTGAAATAAATACTGCAGTGGAAAATGAAGCCCTATATTATTTAATTTGCAGCTCTCCACTGGCAAGTGGTGGCGTCTCCATATGAGTGAAA